ATGATCATTATTCTTAAACACTGTAATATTTGTATTTGAGAATAATAAATGTTAAAAAGATCTGTCATAAACGTATATATTTACGAAACTCAGCATTTAGGACGATATCGAATAGTTTTCCTTAACAAGACATGCATAGTAAGATTCTAGTTATGTTGTGCTGTGGCGTCTCCTCGTGTGTGGGAGCGCCGGGGCTGTACCCTGGAAATCCCCCCCCCTCCCCCCCTCTAATCTGTCCCTGGAGCTTGTCATCTATAAAAGAAGTAAAAATAAAACTGATAAACAACATGACTCTGTATGGTATAACTTTTATCATGGTACTATATCCTGTAAAGAGACGCTTTACTAAGAATATTTAGACTCGAATGCTACCTCGTATGGTGTCTATCATTTCTTCTATTTTTCTCATATTTCTCATTCTTCGTTTCTTTTAGTTAGTTTCTCTATCTAAAATAATATTAGCCTTTTAAGAGAGTAAACAGCTTCATATTCGTCAGCTTAGAATTAGAAAATACTGAATGAGAAAAATAACGTTTTTATAACACATCCCGACGGCATTTTAAAAGTGTCCGTAAGTGACTTAGAAAAACGTAAGTAAAGGAAACGTGTCATAAAACTGCAATTTAAACATTACCAGAGAACCTATAATAAAAATATCTTAACGTCACGAAGTAAGTTTTATTGGGTGTAATTATTAACGTTTTGTGAATCAAATTATTCAAATGTTTGCGAATGAAATTATCTAAACTTTTATAGGAATGAAATGATTTCTTTTATGAATGAATATATCTTAATATCATATAATGAATATATCTTAATGAACCAAATAATCAAAACTTTTATAAATGACATTATTAGTCTATTTTATATGAATGAAACTATAAACCTTTATTAATGAAATCACTGCATTTTTATATCAATGAAATCACTGACAATAATTTTGACTTAATATATTGAAAATTTAATTAGAATGACCATTACTGGCATACTAAGAGAGATTCGTCTATCTTACAATACATTAAAAATACATTATCTAGGAAAAAAGGGAAATTCGGTGTCTCAAAACGTGACTGAAATTTCATAACGTAGCCAAGGAGCGTATTTTAAAGATTATACTAACAGTTCAATTGGCCTTCAACTTGAACAGATAATCTT